AAAATAGTGCTTAAATAACTAAACAATTGACTAATATTCCATGTTTCTTTGGAAATGTTAATTTTTAGGTAATGTGTATATTTAAGCATATTTATGTAACTCAAATCTTCAATATGATCAACTTACAGGCTCCTCCATGATGACTGTGATCACTTGATTATCACTCGATTTCATTTTGAAAGACTTTCCAGAATTATCAATCTGAAAATTTTAATAAGAAAATCAGTTTATTACTTATAAACCAAACTACTGTATGAATCAAAATTTATAATGGTCACTTTACCCATATGTTGTCTATTATTTTACTTTTCCTGAACAAATTCTTAATCATTCCAGCATACAATCATTTTTTTTCTTGCTATTTGTTTGGTCATTCCATAATTGACCTTTACAAAAGTATATTTATTGTTAGGTTTTTGGCTTTGAGTAGAATTTTTTTTTGAAACTGACAGATGACTCACACACTAAATAGCACTAAACACAACATATTGTACAAGTCATACAATTGCTCCAACTCTCCCCTATAGTAATCAGAGAAAATTATATCCAAATCTGTTATTGTTTGTCTTAGATCTGCCGTGTCCACCACGTGGAATCAAACTTGCCACTGTCCCACCAGGAGACAACTATTATTATTTTTCTGTAATATGAAAAAAACTCTCCAGAAAAGCATACATTTGTTCAAATACCACAATTAATTAACACAGAATGACAAATTTCATATGTCACTGGATTTTTTCAGTTTCCCCTTATACTAATCAAAACCAATTATTCCCAAATCATTTATAGTTATTTTATAATGTCAAAATGAAAAAATAAACCTCTCCTGACAGGAATACTTTTTGTCTACACACATTTATTCAAATAAAAAGGAATTTTTGAATCAAAAACAAAATAAACATTTTTCTGCTTTTAATTTTCTGCAGATAAAAAACTTAGTTTTCCTTGTCTTACGTACTAACAAAAATTGGTATGTCAATGTGAAAAATAAAACTTTCAAACAATTATTGAACCTTCATATATATATAATAAGGTTGCATTCAAGAGCTTTTGCATTGAACAGAATGTTACCAGTAAATCTTTGAATTAATCATAGTTGAATTAACTCAAAACACTATATATGCTAAATACAATGAACTCCTGAATTTCTGCTACTGTTGTCTCCAAAGTAACCTTATATAATTCTTATTTTGAAACAATGCTTGCAAAATATGTAATAAAGCTTTGCAAAACTTTATAAACTCTGATCTTATCAACTTCTTACACGTTCCTTCTGATGCCATTCTTATCACCCTGCCATACTTAATTTATATTTTCATGCAGTAGTTAATATCACACAGATGTATGAACTGCTTATAATCAGATACAGGATTAATAAGCTATAATAAAATGACCTCAATTTTATCTGGAACATACATATTTGATAGAATAGGCAAGAAATGATTATTTTAAATGTATTTCAGGATCAGCATATTCAGATTTAAGCAGCCTGAGATAGCATTCCTGAATTATTTCAAACATTCAATTAAAGGATTTGTATTGAAACTCCAAATGATAAATAAGAAACTCAATATTAGATTTTCAGCAGCATGATGCTTCCATCTGTGTGTTGCTGATGCATTTCTTTTAATTTTAGTGTACAGCATCAAGCATTTGTTCATTTAATATTAATTTACTCTAGAGGTGAAATTCTTATTAATGAAGATTTATCCAATACTATTCACCATGAAAGTTGCTAGATGTGAAAAAGATGATCACATTAACTCTGAGCTTGTTAAGAAAAACTGAGAAGTTTAGACATTAATAAGTCTCCAAGGCCAGATAATACTTCACCAACAGTTTTGAAGTAATTTAAGAATTGGATGCGAGGCACTTCCTAATATTTTTTCTGAGTTCTTGAACAGTGGGCAGGTACCATAAGATTGGAAGTTGGTTAATGTTACTCCTCTTTTCAAAGAAAGTGAAAAAAAATTGTCAAATTAATTACTGACCTATTAGGATTATATCAGTGGTGTGAAAAGTTTTTAAAAAGCTGATAATAGATGCATTGCAAAGTGACTTACAAAGTTTAAAATTTTCCTGTGTAGTCAGCAAGGGAAAAATCTTGCTTTTTTACTAATCTTTTGACATTCTTTGAAGAGGTTACTACTAAAGTAGACTCGATGTATCTGGAATTTCAGAAATATTTGACAAGGTGCCACGTAAAAGGCTTGTGAAAAAAAAAAGACCTTTATAAGTGTGGAAGATAAGTTGGCTCATTAGATAAAAAACTGAATGGAAGGAAGAAGCAGACAATTATATTGAGTTCAGTCAAACTCAGTATTGGGAACTTTTCTCTTTTGGACTTATATCAGTGACATAGGTGAAAAAAATTTATCATCAAACTATGTTGTTAGCTGTAAGGGGGATACTGCTGCCTTACAAGAGCAGTTAGATAATTCTGTAAGTTGGGAAAATAAATGACAGATTGCTTTTAATTATAATTAATTGAAGTTAACGCGTGTGGGATATCAAAATTCCAAATACAAGTATAATTGTAATAGGAATAATCTGAACAGTGTTGTTGAAGAAAAGGATCTTGATGTTCTGGTTGATCAGTCTCTTATACCATAAAAGCAGTGTGCTGTTCATAGTGGTAAGGCAAAAACGATTTAAATTTGTATCTACAGCAATACAAGTTTAAAGAGGTTATAATTTCATTGTATAGAAAATTGGCTAAGCCTCATTTGGAGTACTGCATTCAGTTTTGGGTTCTTTACCTTAGGAAGAACACTAAATTGTTGAAAGTGGTTCAGAGTAGGGCTATAGGATACCTGGGAGGAAAGGTTGTCATATGAGTACATGTTAAGATCTCTGAAATTGTTTTGTCTTCAAAAAAGATGAGTTAGAGAGGTTCTAACTGAGTTATTTAAGACTTTAAAGGGAATTGATAGCGTTGATGCATCATATTTTTTCATATTTAGTGGTGAGACTGGTAAATCTAAGAGACACAAGGATAAATTTTGGAAGGATAAGAGTCATCTTCAGCTAAGATAACTTGATTTTGCTAACAGGGTAGTTGTGTCTTTGGAATGGTTTACCTTTAGATATGGAGAATGCAGTTAATTTAAGGGAGTTTATGAGAAGGTTTAATAAATATTTGAATGATAGGAGATGGCTTTGAGTGTTTTACTTATATTTTAGAATTTAGTATACTGGATGGAATAGCTTCTATGAACCAAAAATTCCCTTGACCTTAAATTATATGTATCTCTCACTAGATTCTCAATATTACTACAGAATGTTCTCACACTGCTTTATAAACACCTTTCATTTATTTTGCAAGTAATATTAATAGATAACTTAAAGTTAGCATTATTCTTTAATGTAATAAGTCCAACAAAATATACAGAAAATACAAAAGGGACAATACTATCATACTGTTAAAGAAAAAAGTAATCACAACACTGCTGCAGTGTAGTCTGTTTATATATTTTGTCAAGTTACAAATTTAAAGATTTGTTGTCAAAGTCAGTTTATAATACTTTTCATCAAATATCACATACATTATTCCAAATTCATAATTATTTCTAATTAATTTCCTCAACTTATATAACATTTTAAAGGTGTCTTTACTGTAAAGAAGTGCAATTAAAATTCTGTGGCCCAGTGTGGACTGATCCATCAAATAACGGACTATATGGCAGTACTGTTGTTAGAAAACCTGGGTACTTTAAAAACTGCCAGTGGAGTCAAAACCAATGTGTCTGAAGGCATCAGTGTTATACTAAAATAACTTACAAAATGAAGGGAAATCACAATGGATACAACTGTTCATACATTATATTTTTTGCAAACATCTAATCTGAGGTAGGTGCTGAGGTGATGTGTAATTAGCAGTTACTTCTTAAAAGATTCCAATATGAAGGCAGACTGTCAAGACTGATTTTCCCCAAGACCACATGGCACCAGATGATAAAGTCTTGAAAATTGGGAAGCGTATGCCAGGCACACACAACAAACTCAAAATGCCAGACCAAAGGTCAAAAACTTTACAAGGATTGGCAAAAATCATTGTACAAGTCAATCAAATGTTCTTCCACACACAATCATCCAACTTTATAGTTAAGAAGATTGTGCGGTAAGGATCTTTCCCAAGAGAACTAACTAACTGTTCATGCAACAATATTCCACACACAATCATCCAACTTTATAGTTATGAAGATTGTGCAGTAAGGATCTTTCCCAAGAGAACTAACTGTTCATGCAACAATACACACACATACTCACATACTGTTGCTGCAAGATAGGACTGGCACAGAATATCTACAGTTTAAAGCAACTTAAAGTACCCGCTTAACAGTTCAATTCAGGTAGGAAAATATTATATAAGAAGGAAATTCTGGAAACCATTGCATCACCATCCTCGCTCAAGACTTTGGTGCAAGGTTTTACAGAAACTTCATTACAAGATAAAATAAGCAGTTGCATACTTTTGAAGAACCAATTCAACTAAGCACACCAAGAATTGTTTAAAGAAGCAAATGTTCCAACACAAAGTGTAACATAATATCAGCTTAAACCTCTGAGAGAGAAAAACATTGCAGTTCATCTAACAGACATGAATTTCTTATTGAAAAAAGGTTAATTAACTAATACCAACATTTATAGGTTTCTTTTAACTAGAACATCATTGGAGAATGCTAGTAAATATTTTGTGGATACATGTTTTCCAACCACTTATCAAGATCCATTGAAATGTGGTTATAAAGATTAAACCTACATTATATATATATATACACACACACACACACACACACACACAAAACAAAAAAAATATGGATACAATGGACAAAAATATTTGGATCATTCCAAGTCAAATACATGGAAACCAATGGATATTATGATTTTATCCACAAAATCTAAACTGATCCTATATTTGATTCTAATGGAAAGCAGTTTTTATAATCTGGTTTTCTGGGAAATAAAAAAATTTGTGAGCTAACATCATCAGAAGAGCTGGAAGAAGATGTGTGAATGAAGAATTTATGCACCATACAATATTCTACCTCGGGTGGTCTTTTTGAACTGCAGTGTTCATGCTTATCTCTGATGATATGGTAACAATGCAGAGGTAGATAGTCCAGGAACTACTGAATTGTTCTGAAGCCACTACTGATGCAGCATATGCATCACCAAAGAAAGGATAATTTGAATTGTCTCTCCTAAAACCCCTCCTCTTCCAATCAACAATCCACAGTGATATTCCTGTAAAATGCAATTTCAGAGTAACTTCAAAGTTCAATGTGATCTATGTGTTTCACGAGTGCCAATTGTAAAAGAACCCTGAAACATGCAAAATTGTGCTCTTTCAAGACTAACAGCAACTTTAACCTCGAGCAATCACACTATGATACTCACTCGTGCAAAATGATGTTAAGTATGTCAGCATACAAATGCAAGATATGCATAGAAATGAACTATGTACAAGGACTTTGTATTCAAGTTAAAGCAATCAGTTGCTTCTATAACAATATAAGAAAGTATCTTACAAGTGGTTTTGCATCCTGAAAACTTTAAATCATAGTTCACTTTTTAAATTAAATCTATGTATACTATATATATCTTGTTATACACATGCTGTTTGACACCAGTACTATACAAAATAGAAAAATGTAACTACCAACAAATTGTCAAGTAATTATTGTGTTTAAACTGTATTTCTAAAATTCTAAGAGTTAATCACTTCTTGATTACTGGGCAATTGTTAATTAACTGCCTCACCAGGTCATATATATGATAGCTTTATTTTTGTATTTATATATATATATATATATATATATATATATTCAGGATAAACTAATATATTTGGAAATAATCTGCTCAATTATTGTACAAGAGAGTTGGAGTAATCAAAAAACATTAGACATTCAGTGTTAATTAACTGCCTTTCGCTGTTAGTAAACTGCTCCATCCAAGCAAATATATGCTGGCCTGGAGTTTTTGTTTTTTACACTACAGAAAAACTAAATTTAATTTTGAGGTAACTCTTCTTTTACCATTAAAGGGAATAATTGGAGTAATTGAGAGACATGTGTCACAAGTTTGTATTAAATTTAAAGTGCTCCAACCAAGCAAATATATGCTTGTCCACAGCATTTTTTCGATAGTATAGAAAACCATAATAACTTTGGTTTAGAGTAATCAAATGGAATACATATAGCATTAACCGATTATAATGCTATTCATGTGTCTTGAGCAATAGAAATTAAAACACTCGTCCGGCTCTTACTAAAACTTTTACTATTATTTTTACTACTCTGCCCATTCACCATATATCGTGATCTAATTCATTGTTAGTGTTACTGTTAGAAAATTCGTGCGCGTTTAAAGAGTAAACAAAGTTAACTTAAAGTTAAATTCTATATAGTGTATTTAAACTATACTGAGGTTTACAGTTATACTTATATCGTTAATAATAATACAGTAATATTATTTAACAGCAAAGTCTAAATTGCCGAAGTTACATAATATTAATTATATCTCTACTAGTAGTAGTACTACTACTGTACTAGCACTATCTACAGCAAACATGTGCTAAGCCTACATTACAGCCCAATACCTGAACAACAGTCCCTAATATACAAATAGGTTTTCCCTGAAACTGAGCAAGATGAGAAGCGTTCACCCTGTGTCTTGCAGTTTCCAATAAGTTCATGATCAATGTATTTTAATGTAAGCAAAACTAGTACGAATTACTGATACTTAATTGTAATGCTACGTCTCCAATATTATGACAAGCTTAATTCTCATAAGCTCGAATATCCCTTTAAAAAGTTAAAGAATGGTCAGTTTTACATATATTCCCGCCTTTTTGCCAACCAAGAAAACGTGATCAAATATAATAATTTCGCTTTTCATTTCTTTAATCTTCGAAATATTTCAGCACTAAATTATGATTTGTGTACATAATATTATATGATATATTGTAATTACTGGTGAATTAGTTATTGAATTGTAACTCAATATATAATGCTTTAAATTATTCTCGTTTTCTTTGCGCCCAAATCTTTAATATATAGCACCTCATTATTATCTTTGAATAAGAAAACTCTATCTGCAGATAGTACTCATGTTATAGGATTTTTTTTTTCCCCTGATACATCTAGTAACTATGCCTTTATTAAATATATCGAGAATCATGGATTGATCGTTCTCATTTTAGTGACCCATACGATTAATAATTTTTTGTAATAGATGTTGTGGGTAGTCGTTAAGTTTTAAAGTATCCTGTAAGAGCGAAATTTCAGAGTATAAATTAACGTACTTAGAACATAAGTTATAAGCTCTGTTTAAAAAGCATGTTATCAAATTTCTTTTGTGTGTATACGTGGTAAAGCTGTCAAATTGTGTTAGAAGTCCAGTAAACGTCTTTTTTCTGTATATTGATGTGCCAAATCCGCTAGTGTACGGTTAATGAGGAAGTCTAAAAAAAGGGTAAATTAGTATTATTTTCAACCTCGCAAGTGAACTTAATGGCAGGATGTTATGAGTTCACTTATTCTAAGAATTTAGAGCAGTGATCCTTATTGTGAAAAATAATAAAAGTGTCCTCTTCATACCTTCTGTAAAGGATAGGTTTGAAGTCAGCGGGGCAGGTGTCGAGCCATTTCTATTCGTTATATGAAAGAAATATATTAGCTAACGTTGGACCCAACGTGTAGCCCACCGTTACACCATATGTTTGTTCAAATAGGGTGTTGTTGAATAGGAAATGTGAATTTTTGGTTGTAAGGTCCAACATAGTCTTAATTTGAGTTACTAAAAAGCCATTCAGCGAGATATTATTACATGAAAGATTAGATATACAAATACCAATGGTTTCATTTAGAGGTATATTAGTAAAGAGGGAGGCAACGTCAAAGCTGGCCATAAAGTGGTTTTTGGAGGGGGTAGTTGGATTAATTCAGGTGAAAATTGGAAAGTATCAGGAATAGTGAATTCATTGGTAGTGAGTGGTTGTAGTATAGGTATCAGGAATTTCGCAAGTTTTGTAAGTATGTGTGCCTAAGGCTGGAACAATTGGTCAGAGGGGGGTGCCTGCTTTACGAATTTTATATGGTCTTCCTTTTCTGCCTCTTTGTTGGTCAAGCCTGAGTTCGCAAAATTTATTTATTTCAGTTAGTTATGAAATATGAGGTTAGGGTATGCTATGGCGTGGGGGTGGTAGTACTTGCTCCGGGCTGTACACTATTATTGTATTTTGGAACTTGTGTATAAAGTTAAGATCATAAATAATATTCAAACGTTTAAAACTGGTACACAATTAAAAACATTTTATTTAGACCTAAATAAAATGTTTTTAATTGTGTACCAGTTTTAAC